TAACTAAAACTTCGTAATTGCAGGTTATATCTATTGTAAATACGTTTATTTATCTAATTTACTGTCTTTGGCTTATTTATTTTTAGAATTTAGTAAAATTTAAGCAAAATGTGTGACCTCTCCGAGTTCGAAAAAGAGCAAATTGTTGGAGCTCGCATGATAGGAGCCTCGATCGCTAAGGTTGCTGAACTGTTTGGTTTTTCAAGAGCTACCGTATCAAGAATACTGATGCAATTCGAGAAACAGGGCAAGATCTCTAGCAACCGTAGCAATTCGGACCGTACTTGCAAACTTCCTGACAGAGACTGACGTGCATTGAAACACAATGTGGCAAAAAATCATCGGACAAATGCAGCCAAAGTGACTGCTGAGTTGAATAACCATCTGAATAGTTCAGTTTCTACTAAAACTGTTCACCGTGAGCTCCATAAGGCTGCATATCATGGAAGAGCCGCTGTGAGGAAACCTCTTCTTTCAACTCGCAACATTCAAAAGAGGTTGAAGTGGTGCAGAGATCACAATGCCTGGTCTGCAGACCAATGGAAGTAAGTCATATTTTCAAACAAGTCCAGTTTTTCTCTTTTCCTAACTTCAGGGTGAGTTTATGTGCGGAGGCAGCCCAAAGAAGCTTACAACCCTGACTGCCTTCTTCCAGCAGTGAAGCATGGCGGTGGGTCAGTGATAGTTTGGGCCTCCATATCAACAGCAAAGGTTACCTGAACATTTTGGGAGATCATGTTCATCCAATGGCCAAGACTTTATTCCCTGATGGTGACTGCATCTTCCAAGACGATAATGCTTCAATACATACCACTCGAGTGGTTAAGAATTGGTATGAAGAGCATGAAAGTGAGATAGAACACATGGAGTGGCCTCCCCAATCTCAAGATATCAATATTATTGAACATTTGTGGGGCATTTTGGAACGACAAGTTAAGAGCCGCTATCCTCCACGGTCGTGTCGTAAAGAGATGGAGAAGGTTTTAATGGAAGAATGGCTGAAAATTCCTCTGGATGAAGTCAGGAAGTTGTATGATTCCATTCCTAGACGTATTAAAGCTGTCGGTGAGCCTAAAGGAGGACCAAATTCATATTATATAAATTTTCTTTGAATTTAACAAGTGTTCCAATTATTTTGTCCAACCCCTATATATATATATATATATATATATATATATATATATATATATATATATATATATATATATATATATATATATATATATAGTACAGGAAATATATCCGTTGGTATATAATCCAGGTGGATCCTAGTAATATCAAATATTAAAACTGGTCCACAGAAACCTCAGTGTATTTATTATAACAGAGTATATATATATATTTACAGCAAGAATCCAAAATGACCTTATATGGGTATAGTCTATTTCAGATCAGCATAACGATGACTATTTTCATCGGCTCTGAATGCCTTTTGGAATGTCTTTCTGGACTTGCGGCTTTGAATTTATGTTAGATGGCAGTCCTATTGAAAAGGACGCTTATTTTTGATAAGGAGCTTGTATTGGTGACAAAGGGATGTCGTAAGGTATCTTTTTAAGGGGAAGTGGGCTGGGGTCGGAGTTTATTTATGACCCTAGCTTCTAGTTGTATGTAAATGAATTACAGTTCCTGCTATGGAATACTACTTAATGTCAATAACGGGTCTGTTTTACTAGAATTTACAGTCAGTGCTATTTAGACAATAAGGGGTTAATGTTATTAATATGTGATGGGGGAATTTAAATATAAAACAAATTAAAATTAAGATAAATTAGTTGAGTGATAGATTCATAATTCTGTGAGTAACACTGAAACATCGAATCATGCTGTACAGCACACATACATATACTCACACACATGTACGTTTACATACATCTATAAATATATACCCATACACACATGTATACACATATACACACATGTGCCATTTAATTACACCGTTCGGGATCGTTTAAAATATTAGGAATACTAAGCTGCATTCGGAATTCTGTAAGAGGAAGATATTAAATTAAAATTTAATTACAGGGGGTTGCATCAGTTTGGGGACTGTGTATTTTGGGGGTCGGGTGGGGTGGAGTAAGCAAATAATAAGGTAAGATTTATGTTCTTATATAAGTTTGAATCTGCTCCTTACATTTCATAATTAGCTCTTTTCCTGATTTAATACTTTGCATTGATTATTGTATTTTATTATTCTGATTTTCTCCTCTAAACATAGCTTGCATCTATCTCAAACTATTAAAGGTGTTCGCAAAACCTAAAACTTCCCAATTTATCTGAGGATTCAGACACTTTTCCTTCAATTCCCAAATTTTAATATATATATATATATATATAAATAAAAATAAAATGAAATGTACAAAGTCCGACAATTATTTTAAGACATTTTTTATGTTTATACATTCTTTTTATAGATACAAATATTTAAGTAAATGCTCTGTTTATAATAAACAGTATTAACAACGTTTACCGGCCTGGATGTCCAAGAAATTTTCATAGAAAATATACGCCCTCCGACAGGAATCGAACCTGTACCCTATATGGAACCATCATTTAGCCTGACGTGCTTTATCGATTTAGCCACAGAGGAGCGTTTCGGTTAGTTAGGTCGATTTTACAGTTTTTAAACTACAATTCTTCATGATTTTCTCACGTACATTCATATCTGCTCGATGCGTATCCTAATATAAACAAATGACGTCACACATTATGAAATGGACAAAGTCCGACAATTATTTTAAGACATTTTTTATGTTTATTTGGATACGCATCGGGCAGATATGAATATACGAGAGAGAATCATGAAGAATTGTAGTTTTAAAAACAGTAAAATCAACCTTGTTACCCGAAACGCTCCTCTGTGGCTAAATCAGTAAAGCACGTCAGGCTATATGACGGTTCCTTATAGGATACAGGTTCGATTCCTGTCGGAGGACGAATATTTTCTATGAACATTTCTCGGACATTCAGGCCGGTAAATGTTGTTAATACTGTTTATTATAAACAGAGCATTTACTTAAATATTTGTATCTATAAAAAGAATGTATAAACATAAATGTTTAAAATAATTGTCGGACTTTGTCTATTTCATTATATATATATATATATATATATTTCTTAAAGGAAAACAGTCCACTTTAAAGTACCATTATAATAATTTATTTCACCAGAGCCCTTTTAAAGGATGCGGGATCATCAGATAGCTCTTCCAAAATTGAAATGAAATATATATATAAAGCTCTAACATTTTCCATTTTGTTGTGAAGTGGCAATTTTTCTCACATCTCGCCGTGCATGAGTTTCTTGACACATATGTTTCTATATAAGTCTGTTTATATATGCACCGATGTACACATGAACGAAGACTGGTGCGTTGGCCGGTGATATTGATATTCGATATGTAATCAATAAAGAAATTTAATAGATCTGTACAGAGCTGTAGAAGAAGAAGACGTGCATGGCATATTTCATTGAATATGATCAGACGATCGGTTAAATTTCTGATAGATTAGCTTATTACTTTTGATTTCCGAGTGGATAGCACATTTTGGACGGACGCCAACGAGGCGAAGCGCCTTCCCAAGTAGAACAATAAACTTAATCGCTCAATGTTCTTAGGTGGAGGCATTCGATAAAAATCGCACCCCGCCGCCTACCTGTAAATGACAAGCTCATTCTAAGCGTGTTTACGTGTTCGAAAAAGTAATTTTTCTTTCTTTTTTTTTCTTTTCTGCAGTATGTAATTTGAGAAGCTGCATGTCAGCTCGAAACGAGCGTTTTCGGTTTAAAATATTTGAAAGCGAACATTTTGCGACGAACGCAGCTTGAAATATTCGTTGTTGTTGGTGCTTTTATCAAAGACAAGAGGGAACGGTCCATGATAAAGTGTATAAGAGAAATAAGAATCAGTTTAAGTGTATGTCCTCTTTTACTTTCTTTAATATGTTCATCAACGTAATCACGCTGATGGTCCTTCCTTTATAGCTATTAAAATATTAATAAAGTAATGGAACATATGGACCTTCGTAATGATAGAGTCGTATATATATTTTAATCTTCGAGCACTGGCATTTCATTTTCAAAGGAGAAACATCCTTTAACAACAAGTTTTTTCCCACCTTAGTATGTTAGTCTGTGCAGAACTAAATTTTATCAAATATTTGTAAGCATCCATCTTGAGAGCTGATAGACTGGCGGTGTAATGGTTAGCGTTGTGGAAGGCGGCATCAGCGAACTAAGTTCGAATCTTAGTCGAGTTCGTTACAGCCATGCGCAAATAACTTTCAGAAAGGTATGAATCCATCTTTTCTCCCCTCCAGCTATAGGTTAAATAGTAGGATGGAATGGGCAATTCAGCTGTGGGTGAAAACCAATCTAAGAGGAGAGTAACTTTGAATTAAAACAAAAACTATAACTGAAGCAATCACCAGTTTGAGTCTACTGATCAATGGACTATGGTATTTGATGTTCAGATCGTAGTATTCATGTCGTACAAGTGTCTGTTACTAAAATCATTCTGACTTACAGGTACTTTCTTTTATGAAAGAGCCAAAAGAACGGGTAATTTAAAGAGTCATCCTCGAAATCGAGTCGACAGCCATCACCCGACATTTTTATTACTTCAAACGTTATTTTAGCTGATACCCGTGTTTGACTAGACGTCTTTTGTTTTTATTAAACAGTGAATATTTGGTCTACCGGTTTGTGCAGGGTTCGAACCTCTGTCCCCTTTCATAGGAGTAACCGCTATTTGTTCCAGTCTGCTTTAGATCGCTCAGCCACAGATGTTCTATGTAACATTTTTCAACGAGAGACATGTATATTCTTTAAAACACCGACTTTTTCAATCTCTCTCTCTCTCTCTTTCTCTCTCTCTCTCTCTATATATATATATATATATATATCTTTTTTTAAGCGCGGTGAGGGGCAGAATTGGTTTCTATTTTTATTTATTCAAAGCATATTTACGTTTATTTTATAGATTTCGTAAGTGTAGCGTTATGTGCCGCAATTTAAAAAAAAAAATGGTTCCCAGCAAGAACGTAAATAGGGAACGAGAATTTGGTCGATTTTTACATGGCACTGAATTAGCTTTGAAATATGGATTCTTTAAAGCAAAGATCAGAGAGACATATCCATCGGTCTTTTACTTTGACCCACACGCTAATGTCCATTCTGTTTTACTTCATTTTTAAATTCACTTGTTTGTTCCTTTCGAACTGTCTTTTAGTAGATTTTCTTTAGGAATTCTTCCTTGTATGCGCCATCTTTAATTCCATGTTTAATTTATTTTGGCACAAGATCACGAACCTGAAGCAAAGAATGAAGATCAAACTATTTACGATCGATTAGCTTGTTAATCATTACATTACGGCATTTTGCTTATCGTTTTGCTTTTTCTATACTATTTTTCTTGTCACAGTTTTATCAGACGTTTAAGTATGGAATTTTTTTTCGTTCTCCAGGTGTCTGTGTGTGTGTGTGTGTGTTCTAGAATGTAGAATCTGACGACATTCTGTGAAGCGATAGACACCGAGGAAGGACGGTGAGCAAACGATGGAAGCATTGTAAAAACAATGAAATAAAATCTAAAACAACTCCAAAAGAAGAAAAAACAGTCTGTGGAAGCAGTTCGAAAAAAAAAAAAAAAAAGAAAGAAAAGAAAAAAAAAAAGAAAAGCAGCGAAATAAAAAATCACTTCTTTTAGTTCCCCTCTCTGTCTTTATTCTTTCCTTTTTTAACTTTTCTTTATTTTTGTCCTTACTTTCTTTTCTATCCCTTTATCCTTTTCTATCCTATATTTCCTCTCTTTCTTTGTTTTCATTCTGTCTTTTTCATTTCAATATTTCGTTCTCTTTCATGGTTCTTTCTCCCACTTTTAATATTTCTTTTCGGCAATCATTTTTCTCGTAGTATCCTTTTCCTTAGCAATATTCATCCACTGTCTCCTTTTTCCGTACAACAAGACAGACTTATTTTCAAATATGGTCGCCAGGAATGCCACAGAATCTACCTCTTTACAGACATTCGTCTACCAATTTCTCGATATTCAGATCGTCTATGTCGTCTGCTTAAACTAGACCTATTTCTCTGTACCGTCTCCCTTCAAGACGTGGGAGATCATGCTCTCCACAATCCCCCCTCCTTTGTGGCTCTGAGTAAATTATATCTTTTTGCTATCTCTTCTAATCCCCGTTCTGCCAACTATTTGCACAATCTCGGTTGATAAGTTATACGCGCCTTTTCTTTACCCCACCATCTTGCCTTCAATAAGTCCTGTGAGTATCAAAGCGCTTTCTCCATTATTATGTGCCGTAGAAACTTTAACTTACTCATTCTAAGAGTCTTTTTGTTTGCATTTTTCTTGAAACTTTATAGTTCCTCACATGTTTCATCCATGGTATTCTCAGCATCCTACTGTAGAACCATACTTCCGTTGCTTCAAGTTTCTTCCGTGATGAGATTGCCCAGCATTCACTGCCATATTGAAGGAACGATATTACATAACAGTTCAGCATCTTTTCCTTGTTTCTAACGAAAATTTCCCGTTTCCTATTCTTTACTAACGCAAAATCTCGCAAAATCTCACTATATCTTTATCTCCCCTTGGTAATATATTCTTCCCCACCTTAGCATTTATACGACTCTTTCTTCTACGGTATTCCTCACAGGAAGAATAAAAAAAAAGTTTCCCAATTTTGGTGTCTACAGTAAGCAGAGAGAAGTTTACGAAAAGTCTACTTGCATGTTCTCGGTAGAAAGAATCTAGCGTCGGCTAATCTTCCATCTGAAGAGATTAAATGGTTGGGGGAGAAATTGTAGCTGGGGCGACGTTCGTGGCAGTTGTGAGGGTAATGATGGTTGGATGCGGGCGATGGGAATAAAAGTTATCGTCGTGTTATAAAGCGAAGGGAGATAATCGCCTCTTTCACTTGGGGCCTGCCGCTTTGAGTCGGAAAGCACTCATTCTGATGGGGTTTTTGAGGATTCTTGGATGGGAACGAATTGTGAAAGCACTGAAGACATTTCCAAAGACACAATCGAACGAAAAGTGGATGGAAGGAAAGTGGGAGGTGAGGAAGGAAATGAACGGAGGGGGGGGGGTTGCATCTGTGTTTTTTTTTTTTTTTTTTATCTTTCTTTCATTGCTTTTTCTCCCCTCTCCTGCCTTTCATACATTCTGTAGGTATTACTCTTGTGGCACAAGAATTTTTCTTTGCACAATTTCTCCCGCGTTCGTCCGTTTTTCATTCGTTTGCTTTCAATTGTACGCTTTTTTTTTGTTCTTTTATTTCTCCTGATCCCCACTTTTTTCTTTCCTGTAACCTTTACTTTGATTACCTATTATTTATTTTAACTCTTTTTTGGTTTTATTTTTAATCTTCGATTTTATTGTTAGCAGCCTATACACACATAGAAGCGCGCGCGTGCGCACACGCACACACACACACACACACACACACACACACACACACATATATATATAACGTGTGTGTGTGTGTGTGTATTTAGGCAGCAAATTTTCTTTTAGGCATATCTGATTGAATAAATTACAGACATTATGTCTGCTAATTTTTAATAAAATGCATTCATACTCACGAATAACTTTCCGTGTATTGATGTTAAAGGATGAGAGAAATGTGCTATAGTTGTTTAAATTTATTTTATTTTCATTTCCAAGTACAAGAAATACACTAACAAGAAGGCTTACACAACACATGCCTGACCATCTACAACAATATTCCTTTTCACATTTACAATATAAAAAAATTACTAATCGACAACACAACTATCCTATACCATGAAAACAACAAATTCAGATTACAGATACTAGAAGCAATTTATATTAAAAAAATTAAAGCCGGCACTGAAAAGAATCAACTATGAATACTGCATGTTCTGAAATGCCTGTAAAGGAACAGTTTTTTCATGCTTTAATGCCTGCATGGCCATGACATTATAATATGGAAAAAAATTCCATAAGGGATAATTTTTTTCAGGTTTTAATGAACGCTCAGCCATTTGTCAACTGTTTTGCATTTAAAAGCACAATGAAAAAAATACGGTAATGGATAACAATGCATAACTGTATATAAATACTTGTACTAATGAACAACATATAATTTTGTACTACTTGCATCCCCGAAGATGATCTTGGAAGAAGATCGAAAGTACTTGGGAAATGAAAATAAAAGAAATTTAAACAGCTATAGCGCATTTCTCTCATCCTTTAACATCAATACACAGAAGGTTATTCGTGAGTTTGAACGGATTTTATAAAAATTAGCAGACATAATATCTGTAATTTATTCAATCACACACACACACACACACACACACACACACACACACACACACACACACACATATATATATATATATATATTGGCAGAATCCTTTCTTTCAAACGTCTTTCATTGAATACGGCCAACAAGGAAGATTGTATTAATCTTTTATTAAGTCTTTCTAGCATCCTAACATTTTTTTCCGTTTTGTAGGAGTTAAGGAATATAAAACTTGTCCATAATTTTTTATTGTCCCAAGCGTTTTCGGTTATTTCTATAACCATTTTCAAGGGTGTTTTGTCTCTCGCGTTTTTATTTTTTCCTCGTGTTTTGACTGTTACATTGTAAATTACGTTTGCATTGGTTTTTTTTAAAAAAGGAGAGTTCGCTCCAAGCATTCACTTGCCGCGCACGACTGGAATTCATGGGAGCATCTTTCTATTTATTTTTAAAATTAAATAATATAAGGTTGTTGGTAGGAGAGAATTGTTTGATATATAGTGCCTCCCGAATAGCGAGATGTCTCTGATAATGTGATTTATATAGAATTCTTGTGTTTTCCACCAGAATTTTCTTTAAGGGTTGCTGTAAATTATGGGTTAATAAATGTTTTCTTTTTATGGTCAGATAAATGACACGTAAGGCGTACACTAAAGTATGTGGTAGTATGTCCGACATAAGTATTTGATTTGTGACAAGAAATACAGACTTGTACTGGGTATTGAAATTGATACACTTTATTGGCCATCGATAGTTTAGATTTAATCGGGTTGTTTTGCTTAGTGATAACATGTTTGATGGTCTTCCATTTCCTGTAATAATGTAAATTTTACAAGCTTTTCGGGAATTCATCCTGTTTATAATTATTGCGCATCTGGTTACCGTAAAATATCTTGATGTTTTTTTGTGTGGTATTTTTATTACTGCTGTCGTGTATTTTTTTGTAAGAATAATTTTATTTGTTTATCAATGTTGTAATTGGACAAATTATCGTTGCCGAAAGTTTGTTTTATGAGTCTTAGCTAGCTCAGAAATATTCTTTGTGAAGAAGAATATTAGTGCATTCTATTCAAGAAGTTTGTTAACACTGGCATTTTAGATCTTTCCGGGCAATGACTCATTCTTAATTTAGAAGACAAGAGTTCATACTGGTGTTTTTTTTCTTGTTTTTTTTTTATACGGGTAATTGGTGAATTGTTTGAATTTTAATTCTATAACAACATCAATGAATGGTATTTTATTAACTGAGTTCATAATAAATTTTAGAGTTGAGTTTTTTTTTTTCAAAAGATGATTTCAGATTTATAAATTCAACCTTATTTTTTTATCAAAACAAAAATTGTCATCAACGTACCTCGTATAGATTTCTGGTTTATCAGTTATTTTAAACCCTTTGTTTTCAGTATGAGACATGTAAAAGTGAAAGCAGGACCTAAAGGCTTTCCATAACTGACACCATTAATTTGGATGTAGGTGTTGCCATGATAATCATAAAAATGGAGCTTTTGTGGTGCAGGTGAGGAGTAGTTTCCAAAGAATTGCTGGTCGAATTTTAAGAGGAGGGATTGAAGAGTGTTTGTAAACACAATTACGTTGATCGTTTCTTCAACTGAGACGTTGGTAAAAAAAAAAAAAAAGATTTTCAACATTAGGCGAAGCTAGAGTATTACCGATGGAGTTTGTTGCTTTTAAGATATGGAGAAATTTATTTGTTGTGGCAATGTTGTAATTGTTGGATGTCTATGGAGAAATTATATGATTGACAGTTTTTGATAGTTGGTGTAGGTATGTGTGATTTGATAGGTCGGAGTGGGAAACCTGTTTTATGGGTTTTTCCTTACGGCATATATATATCACGGTTGGTAATCACAGATCATTTTCTTCATTTTTAAACTATCAACTGCAGTGATGTTCGCTGTGATAAGTTTATTTACGTCCCTTTTTTTAATGAGTCTGTGGTCTGTGAATTTTGCTGTGTCGTCAAGGATAGATTGTAATTTATTGTTATAATCTTGTCGGTTGAGAACTAAATAATTATTAGTTTTAAAGCGAGTCTGTTAATTATATTAGTGTTGTTGCGTAACTCTTCTTCAGCTGTAAGGAGATTGTTAAGCATTCACTGCCGTATCGGAAGATAGATATTGCGTAAGTGTTCAGTACACTTTTCTTTGTCTTTTATGAAATTTTCCTGTTTCTTAATAAAATGCTTATCATTTAGAAGGCATCTTTTGGATTTCAGTGTCGCACTAATGCCTTAAAAAAGGTGATAAAATAAGGAAAATTAATTTGTTCCTACGAGACGTACATGCGTTCAGTCCATGTTTTTCTCAGTAGGAAATTGTATCAATAATATATATATATATATATATGTGTGTATGTATATGTATATATATATATATATGTATATATATATATATATATATATATATATATATATATATATATATATATATATATATATATATATATATATATATATATATATATATATATATATATATATATATATATATATATATATATATATATATATATATATATAATTCATACAAATGTAACATGTGTAACTTAGGTGATTGATGTTATATTCAACAAGTTGAGTGTCGTAGACGAATCTTTTTTCAATCGTTCAGTCTACTCGTCAGGAGGTTTCACCAACTGACTACATATATATATATATATATATATATATATATATATATATATATATATACGAACACGGGATTAGTAATTGTTGAGACCTTCTTAGGATCTGCTGTTGTTGCAACAGTTATATATATATATATATATATATATATATATATATATATATATATATATATATATATATATATTGATTTAAATGACCAGATTACACTGTGAGGTAGCTGCATAATTAGGCTAATAATCAAGACAGTGTTCTCGGTCTACTATGGTGGACCAGTTTATGCTACTAGGAAACAAGGCGGGTTTACATTTCTTCTCCGTTTCACGCCCCCAACTTACAACCTTTATTTTACGAAATTTATCGGGTAGTTAACGTAACATTTACTGACAGCTGCACACCCGAGCTTTGTAGCCTATGCCAGAACCTTTGACACCTGCTTGGGTCTCCATGGATTAGTTAAAAGAGCATGCTCGCAACCAATATGGACGTGTTTATGGCGAGTAGATTCCCCCACCCGTATTCTATCGACCTGAACTAGCCAATCCCAACAGCTTCAGGTTAACTGGCGTTGGCATGATCTTATATATTGTCTTTATTAGGAACCTTAACCTTTGCGGGTCCATCTGTCTTATGGCAAGGCATGTAGTATCTCACCTACTTGATTTCCCATACTCGTCCACACACAGTTTTCAATGATATATATATATATATATATATATATATATATATATATATATATATATATATATATATATATACGGGGTGTAACAGTATAATTGTACACTCCACAAAATATTTAATATAAAAAAAACCCCACTAAATGTAAATGAGTTTCTTTTGTTCGGGTTTTCAGGTAAGATGTTTAGCCATCTGTACACCATTGGTGTAAGAATCACTGAAAAGCTCTTTGAGTTATTCAGCTAGAAAGAGAACAGGTTAAAATTGTTTTGTGTCAGCCCCACTGTCTTCCCAACTGACCAATGGTGAGAGGAAAAAGGTCATTCAGGCCTTCAGTAATGGTGCCGAAATTCATACTCTGGCCTCCACCTTTAAATCCATTCAAGAGCCATCAAGAGAACGGTAAATAAGTTTAAAAAAGAGGGAATGGTAGAGAGAAATCAGGAGGTCACAACAGGAAGTGGGATCATCATTTCAACTTAAAGCTGAAGAGATCAATTAAAAAAGATCCAACTCAATTCATAAGACGCTTGGCACGTGAGAGAGGAATTTCAGCCATGGCCAGTAAAAAAAAAAGACTTGAAAATGAAATTGTACGTGAAACCTGTGAGGCACCTTGTTACTCCAAGACAGAAAGTTAGAAGGTTAAAAAGGGTAAAAATCATCTTGAATAAGTTGGAAAATGATCCTGGAATAATATATATTTGAACTTTCAATCCTTCATGAACTTCTGATGCTTAGCTATGATTAATTAATGATGAACATATGATTTTCGTTTATGATTGATTTCATCATGATTCTTCTGTTAAGCTTGGAGAGTAATTATACATTCTTATTGTTCAAAGTAGAGTCCTATAACGTTATAAAAACCGCGGAAAATTCCAGTAAAATACCTTTAATCATTTCTAAGATACAACGAACGGTTCAAAGTTTAATCTAACAATTGGATAATTTTGCTGTTAGACCCGGTATATATATATATATATATATATATATATATATATATATATATATATGTGTGTGTGTGTGTGTGTGTGTGTGTGTGTGTGTGTGTGCATGTATGTGAATGCGTGTGTGGTTTAAATTTTTCTATATTTATGGGGAAGAACGTTTAGTATTGAAGAAAGAATATTTGATTTCTACGTCTGCAGTATCTATCTATCTATCTATCTATCTATCTATCTATCTATCTATCTATCTATCTATCTATCTACAGTGTGGTAGTATAAATCACCAGTGCATAATGACTGGCTAGTGTCAATTTCTATGCGTACATTTATTTTAAAGTGTATTTTATTTCATCTAACTGCCTCAACATTTGTGAAATCTTATCAAAGAAAATGGAGGGCTCCGTTTTCTTTAATAAAATTCCTTCAATGTTCAGGCTAGTAGATGAAATAAAATCCTGTTTTGAATAAACGGAGCGTCTACTAAAATATAGGTATCCACTAAAAATAATGCTTAATGTAACGCACACACACAAACGCTCGCGCACGCACACACACACACACACACACACATATAGTGAAACATATATTGTTAAATATAACAGACAACGAATGTCTATTATGTTTGATCATAAGACGTTCTAAACTTCGTATGGTGGCTTTAATTTCGGAAGAAAATAAAGACAAAAATTGACCAAAATTTGGATATTTTTTTTATTATGCTGTTCTTTGATCTAAGCTTTCGGCTCACATGAGCCATCTTCAGAGTGGTTATATGGACGGTTAAACAAATGGACAATTTTTCTCCCGAAATAAAAGCAAACATACGAAGTTTAGAACGGCTCATGGTCAAACATAATAGACATTCGTTGTCTGTTATATTTAACAATATATGTTTGAATAATGATCTGTTGCCCCAATACTATATATATATATATATATATATATATATATATATATATATATATATATATATATGGAAGAAGGGTGAGAGAGAAAAAAAATAAAATAAAAAATTAGAATAACCAAATTAAATTGCTGAATATAAATCCCCTAAATAATTAACCATAAAGAAAAGACGTTAGAAATACTGATTTCTTTCTTCTCTACCTACTTTCTCTAGATTCCTAGTGGCCTATTGAAACCACGCATGGAGCAGTGATATATACTTTGAAGAGTCGCTTGAAACAGGGAACTTACAATACACATGCCGTATTGATTTCTATGTTCATACTGCACCCGATACATTTCAACTTAAAAAAAATCCTCTTTTATATCCTAGTTTTTTTTTCCCTCCACATCTTCCACTCTTTTTGAGCACGGGAGCAACGACGAGGTATGGAGAGAATGGAAACGAGGCGGAAAGGCAGTTGAAATTTCTGGTGTACGTAATGAGGAAGGAGGGCTTGGAAAATCTGATACTCACAGGACAAATTGAGGGCAAAGAAGAACAGAACAAATGAACGCGTAACATAGTTGATGTGCTTGAGCAAATCGATGGCAGAACAGATTTTGGGAGAAATATCAAAAAGACAAAATTTATTAAGAGCTACAAGAGATAGAAAGATGTGGAGGGCCATGATTGCCTACGCACTGAAAGGACACATCACATAAAAAAAATAATAATAGTATAGATTATAGCAAATTCTCATTCTTTTAACAATTTAGCAGACTGGACTTTTGCTTCTCTGCCATCTAATAGAAATAAAATGACGATGAGTTACGCGCCTGAACTCTTCGATAGAAGATTGGTAAGCAGCGACTCGTAAGTTTTCGGAAATGGCATGTTGGGGTGGTGGGAGTCGGGTAGTGGGGGTGGGGGGGGTGGGGGTGTACGAAGGTAAGTGAGAATCGTGCGTATCTTCCAAATCATTGAAGCATGACGGCTTTTATCTTTATTGCGATTACAAATCGAAAGTGTTTTTGCAAATAGATTTTTGATCGTTTGAATAAAAGATTAAAGAAATGTAGGGACAAAGCAGAAATGGTAAATGTAGAATGGTTGGCTGGTATTGGGTGATGGGGAAGGACTCTTCGTCTAAACACTTGTGCGTATTTGATTCTGTCTGTTTTTGTATTTTTAGGGTTATGTGTGTGCGGTGTATGTGTGTGTGTGCGTGTGTGTGTGTGAGAGAGAGAGAGAGTGAGAGAGCATTTCTGTCTAAGTATTTTATTATGTATTTAGCTGTATAGTTGTAGTAGTTTTTTTAAAATTTTTTTACTAAATGTTCACACAATACAAGGCACAGGAGCCACTTGAGGTAGAGGGTTACTGAATTAAGTTGTTGAATGGACGTAAGGGGAGGAAGTAAGTGCATATTATGAGGATGTATAAGATAGGTAACGGTTAACCCAACCTCTTAACTGCTGTTATTCACAGGTCCATTCTGACCGGAATTGGTAGCACTTGTTACTTGTTAGGGACCCAGCTACCGGCAAATAGTAATCCCCCCACCAAAAAAAAAAAAGAAAAAAAAGTCAATGTGTGATTTTGTATAGTAAAATGACTATCAAAATCAATCAAATTAAAATGACAATGAGAATAACGCTAAAAAGTATAAAAATACGTTTTTATTAAAAAAAAAATACCAGCAATACATTTACAAAAAATACCAACAATATATTTTATAATTTCCAAACTATATATCTAAATATACTTTTACCTTGAAAGTATAATATTATTTACAAAATATTTAAACATCGGTACTAAATAACCCATAGAGGTATTGATAAACAAAATCCACCATTACCAACACTACGGTTAACCGTAGACTCGAAGAAGTTAAGATTGGAAACATAGGCAAAATATGCAAAAAATGCACATAGCTACCAATTCTAATTTGTTTGGGAGCCTCTTAGCATATTCAGCCTTTTCCGCTCGCGACAAACCGGGTCTAGACAAATATATTGAAGGTGGATTGGCAAAAAGACGACGAGGATATATATTAACAATTCGTCGAAATGACCATTCAGCTTTTTGAAGGTCCATAACCTGACTCCACTCAAACGGACTTAATTTAACATCAGTAATGAAACATCAGTGTCGCTCTGTGCATCTCTTCTTGCATTAGACTCTTTCACTACATTGAACCTTATCACAGAAAGATTCATCATCACAGAAACAGACGGTGCACTGTTATGAGTGTTACTATATTACAAGAGGGCTGAAGGGTTCGAAGGTTTTATGAGTATGTGTAATACCTCATAGCATGTAGATCGACATCAAGATCGGCATCGTCCTTCAAGGGGCTCTAATTTTATTTTCTATTTGTATATATATATTTTCATCAAATGTATTGTGCCTCTACATGCCAATTAAATAAAAACATAAATATACAAAATATATATATATATCATAATTATTTTAAAAAAATATGATTCCGTCGCTACATAAGAGTTCTCATGTTTCAAAGAGCCGAAAACCTCATTGAGATTTTCGGGTCTTGTTTTTGAAACATGAGAACTCTTATGTAGCGAAGGAATCATATTTTTTTAAAAAAAATAATTATAATTTAAGCTCTACCTGTGTATGGAGCACTGTTTTTTTTTCAAAATAAAAAATAAAAAAACAAAAGAACTCCGGATTATTTACCTAGCGTGTTCTTTCCTATTTTTCTACATATCTGCACACACACACACACACACACACACACACACACACACATATATATATATATATATAAACTACGAACGCGGACACAATTGGTATGACTTCAGACACATACATAAAATTAACACACATTCAGTTAAAAAGTAAAAATCGTGCTTGATAATGGCTAAAAGAATAGCCGAAAGCGCTTGGATATGCAGAACGTTGGGACAATTTTTATACACGGTGTGTCCAGAAAAGAAAACACTTCTACGAACACGATAGAAATTAAATAAAAAACTTAATCTTAGCACCTAGCCAGTCGTCTAACGAAAACTGTATAAAAGAAGGATTGCAGCCCAAATATACAATTATCATATATATATATATATATCCACAGACAGATTGTTTTGCTGTATCACAGCTCATATATATATATATATATATATATATATATATATATATATGTTGTATGAAAAGATATAGAATCGAAATTACTGTAGATAGCAGTAGCGCAGTTTTCAATTTTCAGTTTATTTTCTGCTTGATATATTATTTTTTCTTACACATAGATAGTGTTGGCATAGAAATCAATGACTATTAGTTTTATGCATTATGCAATCATCAGATCAACAACGAATGTTCTATCTTTCACATTGTGTACTCTTCCCATGTAAATATGCCAATATTTATACAATAAATTATATATCTCAACAATATCATTATATTTCAGTATTTTGGATCCGAGGGATGGACTTTCGGCTGCTAAACGCAATCATCAGACCACGGCCTAATGATTGCGTTTAGCATGAAACAGTCTGTCGCCTCTGAGTGTTGACTTCAATGTTCACTTTTATATTTACGTACGCTCTATTTCTGTTATTGAGCACTTTATCCCATAAATATAGCACACCTTAAAACTATATTTCTTCATATATATATATATATATATATATATATATATATATATATATATATATATATATATAAAATGAAAAAAAGGCTCTAATACGCTAATATTCCATGGTTATAATTTATTACATTGGAATCGTAATTACGATCCAATTCATCAGACCTACAATTTCAAAAAGAAATCGGAGAATATAACTCCGGGTATAAAAAAAAAATTTTTAGTGAGAGTGTATGTGTGGGAGTGGGAAATAAGTGTGAGAGGGAAATGTATGAAAACTCTAGAGAGAGGGTGTAATAGAAGAAAGAAGAACAGGAAGGCCTAAAGGTGAAGGTGGGGGGGGGAAATGAAGTGTTTTAACAGAGGGCAGAAAGTGTGATACCAGAATCTGAAGGCGCATTGGAATAACAAAAGATGCCTTCTAAAAGCTAAGTAATGTATTACTATACAAGAGAGTTCCGTTAGAAGCAAAGAAAAGTTGGAAGAAGCGATCTGAAGCAACAGAAATGTGGTTCTACAGAAGGATGCTGAGAATACCATGGACTGAACATCTGAGTAACAAAGAAGTCTTAAGGAAAATTGAGACCAAAATGACGCTTATAAAATCAGACAGAAAGAGACAGTTGATATTTCTAGGGCCTATAACGAGGAACGAGAGTTTGGAGGATTTGATACTCACAGGGCACAATGAAGGCAAGACAGGAGACAACAACAATTAATCTACCAAACGAGTTTATACAAATATTATCAGAATAAGTATTAAAAGAAATTTACTAAGAGCTAAAAAGGTCAGGAATTTGTGAAGAGTT